TTTTACTTTTTTACTTATTTCGTAAGTTTGTAGAAATTAATTATACGTATGACGTATCATAAATACTACTAATATATATATATATATATATATATATATATATATATATATTTTTTTTTCACCCTTTAGCAAAACTGCTTGAAAGATATGGATGTCACTTTGATTCGGAACCTGTCCGACCGGAATGGTAACAACTTGTGGCACGTGTGTTGCAGTCAAAACCACCTTCACTGCCTTAAGTGGCTGTGTAATCAAGATAATATGGAGGCCTTGAACGACGAGAATAAAAACGGATTGACACCAGTTATTTTGGCCACTAAGGTTGGTACTGGATGAACATTACTGTGCTTTTATGCAATTAATCTAAGGTGATTTGTATTATGTGTCGAGGGTGTGTATATGTATAGATGTTTGTTTCAACGCAAAGCCACATTGGGTTATCTACTGTGTCCATCGCGGAAATCGAACTCCGGATTTTAGCATTGTAGGTTCGTAAAATTACCACTGGCCCACCAGCGAGCTCAAAAATAAATCATTATGAGATGCTAAAGAAAATAATAAAAGCATTTCTCTCTGTTGTAATTTCTATCTGCAATAAAATATTTTCAATTGTAATACATGTATTACATTATTTATGTGGCTAGCGACTCCTACATTTTTATCAGATTCGTTTTCTTTGGAGTAGAGCGATATCGGTACAAAGCAAAAGGTTTCTTTGGAAACACGTTGAAGATTAATGGGAGCATGTGATCACTACTTATCACACCAGTTTAATATAAAGATGTTTCTGTAAGTATTTTCAGAAATTCGTTCATTTTCTCGTTTCCTGTAAAGATGTGTAATAGAACCGAGTATGGTCTCATAGCTAGCTAACTTGCAGGACTGTAGATCCGAGGTTCCATAGTTTACGCACCGTTACCGAAAAACAAAAAACGTGTATTATACCAGTGATGGTCAAATATTACTATTCGGTTAGAGTAACCCACGATTGGTGGTGGATGTTGTTGTATAGCCATCACTTCAAAATTAGGAACGGCCGTGCAGATAACCCTCGAGTACCTTTGCACGATATTTTACAAAACAAATCTATAATAATAGTGTGTACTGATCAGAATTTATTAAATAGATTTTAAAGCTTACAGTTTGATACGACATGAATGGAAATTTTAAAACATACGTTTTTAGAACTTTCCTCTGCTCATGAAACAAACGTTATTATAATAATGTGGTAATGTAACTAAAATATGCTTTAGTTCTAGAACAGTCTCACGTGACAGTAGTGAGATCACAACGTAATAAAGATATGTTTGGTATTTTCATCACGTGACAGTAGTGAGGTGCTACGTAATAATGATGCGTTTGATTTAGTATAGTCATCACGTGACAGTAACAAGCAGGTGTATAATCTATGACTTGGAGAAAACCCAAAAAGTCGAGGTTAATGTTTATATAACTAAGTATTAAAAATCACGTCCGTTGGGGCGTACTTTGTATGCCCACCATTTCTATGCTCGGGGGTCATATGGGCGTACTTTAATTAAGTTTTTTCACACAAAATTCGATGATATATAGTACGTAGAGCCTTTCCTCAATAAAGTATACAATAAATCAAAAAATATATAACATTTTTTGAGATATCATCAGGATTCCCGGTGTTCCAAAGTTCGTAGGAATACGAAATAGCTGGGTGCGAAAGGTTTAGCTGATAGGCCCTCAATAACGATTACATAACCTCTTCTTGGACGTATGTGTAATGGACATTTTTGCAACTGAGTGATATCAGAATAATGAATAAATAAATGTCAATTATTTTATGTTAATTGAGTTTGACATCACGTATTGTTGTATTTATATACCGGCATCATGCTAGTTACTCCAGGAAACTAATGTGTTATAGATTGGATGGACTTCTCTGGAGCATCTTCGATGCAAAAATAAATTTAAACAATTAAAACGCCCTCCTCCCTTCGGTAAGATTACGGACTTATAAGGGTAAAATCCGGGACTCGATTCCCCATTGTGTTGCTTTGTGCTATAAACAATTACAACGCCCTCCCCCCTTTGGTAAGATTACGGACTTATAAGGGTAAAATCCGGGACACGATTCCCCATTGTGTAGCTTTGTGCTATAAATAATTACAACGACAGCTTAACAGAAAATATGAAACGGCCATGTAACCCGTCAAAGGCTCCGTTTATGAAAATTAATTGTGTGGTGCGTGTTTAGAACATTATGATATTATTAGAGAAAACTTCAAAAAAATATACGAGGTATTGCTGTGTTAAGAATCCTTCCTCGAGACTCCCCTTGGACGGCCTGGTGTTTAGGGTACTCGTCTGACATCACAATCTGCAGATTGCGTGTTCGAATCCGGTCACTAAACACGCTCGCCCTTTCAAACTGGAGGGCGTTATAACGCAACAGTCCATCCAACTCTTCGTTGGTAAAGAGTAGCCCAACAGTTGGCGGTGGGCGGTGTTGAGTTGCTGCCATACCTGTAGCCTATCACTGCTAAATTGGGACGGCTAAAGCCTTCGGGTAGCTTTACGAAAAATTCAATAACAATCCTCGATAGGATTTTCATTAAATACGTATAATGATATTTAAGGAAGGCACTGATTTTTTTTATACGAGTATTAATGTGATTATTAACTTTTAGTGTGTGTTTTTTTTTAACATATGTGTTTGGATGTTTTAAAGATAGTCGGTGACGTAGAAAATTATTATTCTCTTTTAGAATTCAATTGTGAAATATTATGTGATAAGGAATTATTTAACACTTGAAAACTATCTGTAATTATCCTTTGACAGTTAAATATAAATAAATACTAGTAGTAATAAGGAGTGTGGTTTTGATTATCAAGTAAAAATAATTAAAATTAAGGAATGATTTATGCTTAATATAAGTTTGTTTTCTTTTATTTATACTCTTTTGTAAACTAAATAATTTCATCTTCATTGTATGTAGAATCTTCTTATGTTGCTCAGAAAGAAGAACAGTTTAGTTAGGTTTACTAATTTTTACCAGTAATTAGGAATGTGCATTTATGTGTTAACTTCCACACTGCGACTTGTGTGTGTGTTACTAAAACAGCCGAATTTAGAATACGTTAGAAATTCCCGCCTTTTCTTGAGAAAAATAGCATTTTAAATGTTCTAAAGCTAGTAGAATAATGACATTTAAGTCCTGTTGAGCAGGAAGGGTGGGAATCAGTTTATCATTTACGAAACAAATCCTCGTTTTTGTTTTATTTTTTGTTGTTGTTTTTAATTTGTACCTTGGCAGTAAACAACCTCAGACACAAACGTTACTCCGCGTTTATCTGCTCTCCATCCTGACAGTGATTTCCAAGTGTTTCGTGACCACATTTACAACACTTGGTTTGATTGTTGTTAAGCGCTAAGTTGCACAGTAGGTTGGTATCTGTCCTCTGCCCACCACGACTATTGAAACCCGATTTTTACCTCGTAAGCCTTCAGACTTACCGCTGAGCAACCAGAAGGACATTTGGAAAGCATCTGTGATCTTTACTACGTAAAGGATAATAATACTCTACAGTCTACAGCACAATTGAACTTGAAAAATATTTTAATTAATTACACATTTTATTGTTGTTGTAACAGTTTTGTTGTCAAGAACATATTTTAGTATGGTATAGAAACAGTCATTGTAACTTAGCCTAGAATACGTGACATTTATTAATTAATATACCATCAATTTGTTTATTCTAGCTCCCCGGTGGCTCAGCGGCAAGTATGAGGGGTAATAATTCTATAAACCGGGTTTCAATACCCGCAGTGGGCAAAGCACAGATAGCTATCTGTGTACCTTTGCGGTTAACAAGTGACAAATAAACGTTTATTCTGCAGTGCCCTTTTACAGTGTTTAAGAAATCGCGTAACAAAATTGCGTTATTGTATATCCACTTGCTTAGACATTGCGTTTTGTCACCATTTAAGCTTTGTGTTATTTATTGTATGGGATTCGAAATTAATACCTTTGTACAGCTCGAATATAAACGTTTTTTGTAATACTGTTTTATGATAAATATTTCCTGTGAATAGCTCATTTTCGAGGTTCATTTGATTACTCGAATCGTGTAGTAATTAACATTCTGAACATTTTTACCTGTCGTGGCTGAGTATAAAAAATGCTTTTTTTTTACAAATCTATACATAAAAAATTTAAAATACTTAGTAAAATGTTCAGCAAGTGGCCGTTATTCAAGTGTTCGACAGATTTCTGAATTAGGGATATAAGTTGAATTAGAAGCGATTACGTTGCATATCGAACCAAACAAATTTAACTCGAGTTTTTCGTGATTCATTATCCTGTTGATTTGTTTGTTGAATTTCGCGCAAAGCCACTAGAGGGCTATCTACGCCAGCCAACCCTAATTTAGAATTGATAAACAAGGAGGTTTTTTTTGTCAACGCTTTCCACCGCCAACTCTTGGGCTACTTTTTAGCAAAGAAAAAGGGAATTTGACCTTCACATTGTAACGCCCTCACAGCCGAAAGGGCGAGCATGATCAGTGATAGGATTCGAACTCACTACCTGTAGATTACGAATACGAGTATAGCGCTCTAACTACTAGGACACGCCACACCTTCAATAACTTTCAACTAGCATTTTGTTACAGCATTTAAAATATAGAAAACTCAATTCGCCCTTATCGCGGTTGAGAGTTTTGTTGCGATAAGCATTAATTGTTTGTTAAGAAACAAGGCATTAAATTCTTTAAATAACACATTTTTACTAGAATATGGCTTCATGAGAAAAACATGAACTTAAAGACTAAACTAAGTGATCGTTCAATGAGAAAAATATAGGTAATCAACATGTACTCCTCCCAACCCACGAAATGTAATTGGAATGTAATCTGCTTATAAAGTTAGAAGAAAAAAAAACTTTACACTACACATAATTATAAGCTAACTTTTATTTTAACCGACGTTTCATTTCGCCTTTGTAGCGTCTTCAAGGGTAGTACATAAAACTGTTTGATATTACCATATTTGTTAAGTTATAAAACTGCTTGCTTTAAAACTTATCATAAAATGAAATGTTTGAACTATGTAAAATTAATGAGGATTTGTCGAATACCAAGAACTCGTAGTCGCATGTGAGGCAGTGGTTTTTGCCTTCTTTGTGTTTTGTGTCCTAAATCATCTAAAACAGCGTTTTCCAAACTATGGGGCGCCTACTGGTGGCTGGGAGAAGGGGAGCGTTTTGGCGGGAGAGCCCAAAAAGAAAATGTTGATTTTGCTGTTATCACTTGCGAGTCCCCCGGTGGGACAGCGGTAAGTCTTCGATTTACAACGCTAAAATCAGGGATTCGACTCCCCTAAGTGGACAAAAAAAAAAAAATACCCGATGTGGCTTTGCTATAAGAAAAGACATATTACTTGCTAAAATTATTTTAATGTGGGGGCGCAACGGAAAGTTTGCTGAGTTAGGGGGTACCGGTGTTTAAAATTTGGTAAACACGGAGTCCTAAAATATGATTGTGATCTGGCTTGGATTAGTTATCAGTATATTATTCATTTTAGTTCACACCGAAACAATTCTCCAAGTAATAGAAATAATAAATAAATATTTTGACAACTGCTATGTCTGTCGTATCCCAGCCGACCTGATGAACTATGGTATTGGGCGAAAAGTCTCGTCAGCATTGGGTATGGTTGACAGTATTAATATATTTTTCTTTATTTTCCTCCATCATACATCGACATCTATCGGAATAACATGTAAACGTGATTTGAAAGAATAATAAATACATATGATATTGTAATACCTGTAACGGGGCCCGGTATGGGCAGGTGGTTAGGGCGCTCGACTCGCAATCTGAGGGTCGTGGGTTCGAATCTCCGCCCGTTCAGCCGTGGGGGCGTTATAATGTGACGGTCAATTCCACTATTCGTTGGTAAAAGAGTAGCCCAAGAGTTGGTGGTGATGACTAGCTGTCTTCCCTCTAGTCTTACACTGCTAAATTAGGGACGGCTAGCGCAGATAGCCCTCGTGTAAACTTTGTGCGAAATTCAAAAACAAACAAAAAAACTTCTAACGGTTTGAACAATATTATATTTCTCAGTTTTAACACCAGATTATTTCCTGCGTTTCTTTATTTTATACATAAAAGTAGAACCTATATTTTCTGTGAATTAGATATAATTTCAGACTGAGCAAGGAATAATGTTTTCATCATTTTCTTTTAATTTTTTTAGCATGGGAATATGGATATTGTTCAATGGTTATTAAAGCACACAGCCTGTGAAAAATTCTTGGAGCCGTCACCAAGGGAACGCTCAATTTTGCACTACGCAGCAAAATATGGACAGGTACTATGAAAAACACTGTTTTTAAATATGGTTATTGTTGTTAATCAAAGGTTTATTGTTTTTCCTTTCCAGACTCATGGGTATCTTGCTTTCTTGAGATAGTGTTAAGTTCTTGGTATATTCAAGTTTATAGAGAACAAACCTGGTAATTTTAAGGTCTTGTGTTGTAATTATGAATAATTTCTGAACAGGAATATGCTAGTTATATAGGTCAGAACTAAGAAACAAGTAACCTACAATGAACTCTGTGTTATATAATAAACTGAGAAAAAGTTAATAAGTCAGTATACAATAAAAAATGAAATAAAGCCTATAATAACACAGGCCTGCGAACTTAAACTTCATAAAAGTTGTTTTGGTTTTTAATAACGGATTTTCCATACTTCAGCTACGAAGATTTCGAAAATAATATTACTTTTTTTATCACGAAAGGATTTTTTTTTTTTTTTTTACAAATCGGGAAGAAAAAAAAACTTACTTAGATCAAATTTGACACAAATATAAAATAATATGTTTGGACCATTGACACAACCTCTTTTTGCCATAGCAACGTATAAATAACACTGAAAAGAAAAGAAATTTCAAAGAGCACACACACAAACAAATACTATCCAGAAATGACACGTCATGCGGCCTGTTAACCGTTTATGTTCATATACTAGCGGTGTGTTTCTCTTGGGTTCTAGAACGATCGATTAGACTGTCCCGTCACAATTGGTCCAGAGGAATCTATAGCCAGTGGTTATCAACATTTTAAGCATAACAAAATGTGACCCGATTTCAATGAAAATGATTCACTTATGTAAAAGTACATATGACGTTTTGTGAAAAATCTGTATGTGATGTAGAAAAATTAACATCATTTCCGGATTCAGCGTACAGGAATTACTATAGAACATTTAAAAATGCAAGACAATAAAACCATTGCAGGGCTGTGTAATCAGAATGCACTGAATATCAATCGGGTAGTCTTTCCATTAACAGTATTTCTGTCAGTTATCCCAGTGATATCTCCTAGGGTTCACCCAACTTAGGAGTTGTAGGTTAATCCACATGTTAACACTGCAAAATAATCTTCACGAGTTAAATATTAATAATAACTAAATAATTATATTCAAAATAATTTAAACGTTGTAAATAATAATATTAATAAAACTAACTTTAAAGAAAATGGAATATGTCATTATTTGGGTAATCAAAGCAGTGATCTGACTGGTTAAAACATAATTATCCTTGTTGCTCTGTGATAACTATAGTTTCAAAGTTTGACATTCATTTTTTTTGTTAATAGAACTAATACCGTTTTGGTTATTGTAAATGTGTTCTTAGTAAAAATGATTGAAACTTTCACTGTTTTGATAGGAACAACTTGTTCACTGGTTGGCTGAAAATATGCAGACTTCTTCCATCAATAACTGTGACTCGGAGGGTAACACTTCTCTCCATTTTGCAGCTAAATACGGTCATATTGGTTGTGCAAAAGTAAGTTCTTTTTGTTTCTTCTGTACAATCTCAAATCTGTAGCTGAATGTGGTAAAATTTTAGGAGGACAGTTATAGAAAAGCATATAAAATAAAACAAAATAGAAACTGTTTTTATTAACGTGATAGAAAAGCATATAAAATACAACTAAATAGAAACTGTTTTTATTAACGTGATAGAAAAGCATATAAAATACAACTAAATAGAAACTAGTTTTTATTTAACGTGATAGAAAGACGTACTAAAATAACAACTAAATAGAAACTAGTTTT